TAACCTTAGGAACTGTTGAAACTTTTCCCACCATATGAGTTCATACACTATTTCTTCCTATTCTGATCTTGCAGTCCCATGAAAAAAATGACAATATTTGGATCAACAAAATTGTATTGTCATTACATGTATTTAATGGGTTTACAATACGTATGTACATTCTGGGCAAGAAGAATGTGAATGTCTATCGAAAAGAAGAGAATGTACACTAGCGATAGATAGAATTTGAAAGGTGCATTTTTTCACATATCACAAGTTGCAATGTTTGTTTATTGAAATATTGCACACGTACTACATCTCATACATGTGACAGTTCTTTTGCAAAACTATAATACTTGCTCTCATGATAAATATCACGTGGAGAGTGCTACACGTATTGATCATTGTCATTGTATCTTTCTATTTTGTTTGACTTATCTCACAGCCAGAACATATTTCATACTTTTTGTTATCGGGCATACTGTACGACAAAACAAGGGAAGTCATGCTGCATAACACTATTTTGAACATGTAGTGATTATCTCTGACACTTCATTTCATGGTCCACCCCAATGATTCCAAAATCTTCATCTTTGTTGTTCTCTTATTATCATCGGACTACACAACAAAAGAGAGCGTGATACACACTGGCCCCATCATTTGATTATACTTCTCTCATAAAGAGAGCCCTACATGCATTAAATGTAATGGGATTTATAGATCTGCAAATTAAATCCGTTTTTCATGATTCAAAAGAAACAATAATAGAAGTACCACCTAAAACTACTAAACATATCCATCATCAGCAGATGAGGCTTGTGTGTACCTCCAGTGCCCCATTAGTGGCCAAGCCACGAGGCATGTCAGAGTGATAGGATGGCCACAAGAAGACGGATAGGATAGCACGGTAGGATCAAGAATCTTCTGTTGCTGGCTGGAGACGTTTGTCATGCATGCATGAGGGGTGCTCATTTTTTTTACTTTTTACGCTCTATAGCTAGAATATTGCTTGGTTGTCAAGTGTCATGTATCATGCTTTGTAAATCCAAACAAGATGGTGATTATGCAGGGATGTGGTTTGACAACAATGTTTGTGAATCACAGTTCAAAAAGTCAGTATTATGGGGCTTTGAAAACTCCTTGATGTTATAGTTTCTGTGGTATTGGTGCTTGTTCAATTTTGTTCCAATATGGTAGCTTAAACATCGGGATTTCTTATCATGCTCCCATTAAGCACATCCTTCATGTTGAACATAAACGAAAGCAACATGTAACTCATGTTCAATTAGCACTGCTTATACAACTTCTTCAAAGGTTATGGGCATTGAATACTTCAGCGGTTGATCACAAGCCCCAGCACCGCTGCCACAAACAGCGGTGGTCACTAGCGGCAGGATTATCTCACACGGACAAAGTGTCAGAACCGGCCCCTGGGTGACAAGGCACGCTCAGCGTGGTGTCCAGCCTCAGATCTCCTTGCGGTGGGTGGTCATCGAGGCTCAGTGGTAAGGCTCAGTGCTCAGTGGACTAGTGGAGGCATGATGGGGTGGAACCCAATTTGGGCATGTGCAGAATGTGGTTGGATGAACAAGGTGGTGATTGAAAGTCCTTGTGGTGCTGGGCTCAGGATTTTATGGATATGCAGTGTATTATGCTCTAGCAGTGAGACTCTATTGTGCTGGTTGTGGAGCCCGATGGCTGTGAGGCTCTGCTAACAAGTGTGAATACTACTAGATGTTCATATGCAATTAGCCCATACTAGAAAAACGAAACTAAATGGCTGGAGGATACATTCTTTATCTTCTTTCCAATTTGGACATTAACTTAGTATGCTTACTCTTATGGCCTTTAATTAGTCAGCTAATTACCTTTTCACTTCTTATCAAGTGTCCTTGCCACCATGCCTTGCTAATACACGTAATGGATTATATATACACACGTTTTTCTACACAAATTCTGTTATACATTGTACTTGGATATGTGGACATGGACCGTACAGTAAGGAATTTTTTTGTAGGGCATACATATTTTGAGTGGATTAACTTATCTCTCTTTTGTGCACAAAGTGATTCACACCATGACTCTTGTGCAGGACAAAGTAGATTCACAATAACATTCTATTCCAATTCGAAGATAAATGGATGAAAAACAGAGGTTAGAGATAAGTTTTCCACTATTTTAAAGGTGCATCTGCGTACAAAATACCATTTTAATTTTTCGTTTAACCTTACCTCAGTATGAACAAAGCTGTCGTGGCCGGTATTACAGGTAACTCATGTTAAAGAAAACGTAAAACAGTTGGAACTTGAAGCTGTAATTAATTGGCATCTCATGCCTCATATATGTCGAGCTTAAAGAAAACATTTTTTTACTAATTATGGGTACTTATGATGTACTATCTTTAAAGAAATCATCAAATGAACGGTCCATATAAAGATCTACGAATTTCAAATATGTATAGATGTAACTCATACTTTCAATGAGACCATGTATCGTTATTTCCTTCAAGTTGTTCAATTCCATTCTCTTGAGTTTTCTTAATAAAAGGATGGTTTTCATCAGGCCAGCAAATGATTTTAAACGAGATGGTTGATTTACTACACTTTTTAGTCTGAAGAGCATCTCTAGCAGATCCTGTAAAACGCGCTACCGCAAATTTCATCTAAGGGATCCTGTAAAATGAATTCGCGGCACCACGGAAGGCACGGCAGAACAGATCCAATATATGATACTGGACAATTTAAACTTAAACTTCGCGGCACCATAGTTCACCGGAGTTCATCACACATTCGAACACGCAAACTTAAAAAATCGTAGATAAACCTAAATCTAAACTAGTCTAGGGCTTGACGTTGAGGTTGTACTCGGTCGAGGAGCAGTCGAAAGTGTAGGCGAGCTAGTACCTCTCCTTGGCCGCCTTGAGCAATGCGGCGGCGCTTTCTTATCTTGCCTCGAACGCCACCTTCGCCTCGTTGAACAAAATTTCTGCCTCGTGGAGTGAGCGTCGTGCCTTCAACTCAATTGACCGCTACTGCTGGAGTGAGCGCCGCACTGCCTTACCGTAAACAAAATAAACAAGTAACTCAACTCAGTTAGCACAACTTCTACAACACTTTCAATGGTTTGGGCATTGAATACTGCACCCCATTTCTCACGCGCCTAGCCCCATCGCCATCCTACCCCCACTACCCCTCGCCGCCACCAGACAAAGCCCGCGCGGTGATCGCCATCGGCAGGAATGTCTCGCACAAACACATTGTCATGCCTGGCCTCTAGACATCTTGGCACGCTCGGCATGGTGGCCGGCCTTGGATCTCTCTATGGTGAGGCAGCCGCGTAGGCTCGATGGTCAGGGTTTCGTGCTTGGCACCCGATGCTCGGTGGACCAGTTGTAGGCGTGAAGTGGTGGGCCGAATTTGGAGCTACGCCGGTTGTGGTAGGGCGACCAAGGAAGTGAAGGGAAATCATAGCGGTGGCGGATCCAGTCTTCTATTGCTCTGTGGTGTATTATGCTGCCACGGTGAGACTTTGTGGTGGCAACGGAGCCCGACAGCTGTGAGGCTTCACTGGTTGCGGGCGCTTATCTCCACCTTTGTATGGGTTGCCAGGGTGGACATCGTGCGTGGATCTGGGCTCGGTAATGCAGTGGAAAATAGTTCATCTAGCTGGATGGAGCAAGTTGGGGGTTGTGCAGGTGCACGTGGCTGCCTAGAGGTGCTCTCTGTGGAGTCACACGATGGGTCTTTACTGAATGGAGTCACGTGATGGGTCTTTGCTAACAATTTTGTTCAGTATCATGTATTTTAGGAATCCAAGATATGATCCCATGGGTAAGACTTTCAATGTCTAACTTTCCTAGAAGGCATCAAATGGCTCTTTCATGCCATCCTTGATATCTTCCCAGGGTCTTAATAAGCAAATCAAATTATTAATAGTATAATAGATAATGTCCGAACGTACTAAAATACGTGGATGGTTTGTTTTTTTGTTTTTGTTAGTTATTTTATGAAACTAGAAATAATGAAAGTAGGTTTCTTGCACTTAGGTGCCTTGGCTGGTATCGAGTTCAACGCCAAACTTTTCGCAAAGAACACAAACAATCAATATAGTTGATATATGGCTCATTTTCTCTCTCGAAAAATGGTTGCTACTATCTTCATTACAAGGTCCATTGCATATGTTTCCTCAGCCTTTGTATTTTTTGTTCCGTGGTATATAGATATTGTCAATCATATGACTACACAACAAGAGGGGTGTGATTCACAAGGGGGCGTGATTCACTATCTAGTCATTACATGATCCATTGCATATCTTTCCTCAGCCTTTGTATTTGTTGTTCCCTTGAATATATATCCTCAGTCATGACTACACAACAAGAGGGGACGTGACTCACTAGTCGTTCCAAGGAATCGAGCCACCATTAAATGCAACCATCGTTATGATATTTTTCAGAAGTTGCCGCCATAAATATTCATAATCCTGAACATTCTGCAAAGTAGAGCTAGGAAACAAGAGAATCTTTGAAGCGATGCACAACTCACCACCCACCTCACAATACAGCCTCTAATATGGATAAGTTGGTGCACTAGTACACCAGAGAAGATAGATCGAGAACCAATATATAGAAGCTGCAGTGACGTCAGTTTAAACAAGACATCATATCATTAATAATATTATAGTAGCCAAATACACTTGTTGTCATGCGCCAGCATACAACTTATTTTTACAATGACACAAATGACGAAACAGACAAATACACATACATATTCATTTTCCAGCAATACATGTGGCAGTCATCGTAAACGTGACTGGCAGCATATATATATGAGCTGTGACCGGGAAACCAATTCTCAACATACGTACGCTCCAAGCAAGAAGCGCATGCCAAGAACGTACGTATAAGAGTTTTATTTAGTATAAAACATTATTAGTCACGATGACAAATTTACTCAAATGTTGACTGTGGACTTGTGGACGCAGACCTCATAGCATGGCTGAAGTTGCTGCAATCGGGAGTCTCCTTACTGAGGGGCTGCGCCGCTGTGGTGCTTAGCATTGCAGTTACAGTCGTTTTTCAGCACGCATTCGACAAAGCACTTCTGGATTTCGCCACCATCGCCGCCTTCTAAGATGCACTTTCCTGCACAAGCACAGTTCTTGGAGCAGATGCAGTCAGTGACAAGACCAACTTTTTCGGTCTTGTCGATGCAAGTTTCTGCAGGCGGTGGTTCTGCATTAGCTGCAGCGATGAACAGGACGGCCAGCATCATGCCGACGGCAACCATCTTCATCTGAGCACCAGAAGCCATTGATGCTAGCTAGCTTTGGAAAGGAGACTATATTGGTGTGTGTACTGGCTTGTGAAGCTGTGGGCTGTTGATGCATGTTTTGCTCCAGGCCCTTGGTATTTATAGAGAGCCAATGAATGCATGCATGCCCCGCCTTTTCTCTACTCTAGTTAGCCTCCCGTTACACAAAAGGAGGGGAAAATGCGAGTGCCTTCGTTCATTCCCGGCCACACACATGCACGTACCGATGTGGATGTGCATGAGCTTGAGCCATGAGTAGGTGTTCACATGCAATTAGTGGATACTTTTTTTATCTTCCCAATTTGGACATTACCTTACTCTGCCTATTCTTATGGTATTTAATTAATCAACTAATTAGATGTTCACTTCTTATCCAGTGTCCAGGCGACCACGTCCTGCTAATACACTTAATGGATTATATATACACACGTTTTTCCACACCGTTTCTGTTATAGTCCCTCCTGTCCTTTTTAATTTGCATATAAATTTTGTGTGAAGTTAAAGTATCTCTATTTGGACCAAACTTATAGAAAAAATTACCAACATTGACAATATCAAATCAATATTGTTATACTCATTATAAAATATAGTTTCATGGTGTATATATTTGATATTGTAGATGTTAATATTTTTTAACATAAATTGGGTCAAATTTTGTAGAGTTTGACTTGACAGAAATCTAATACGCGGAGTACATTATACTTTGACTTGTCAACATGAACTGTACAGTAAGATGTTTTGTGCAGAAACAGAAATATTTTGAATGGATTAACATATCTCTCTTTTATGCCCAAAGTTAGCCAGACGATGACTCTTGTGCACGATAAACTAGATTGATAGTAACTTTTTTGTTGTTGTTTGAATAATAAAAGAATGGAAAACTGAAGGTCGGAGATAAGTTATCCACTATTTTTACTGGACCTTAGCTGTGAATCAACAGAATTGTTGTGTCTGGTATTATGTGTAAATCATGTAAACAAGAACGTAAAACAATTGGAGTTTGAAGCTGTAATTAATTGGCATCCTCATGCTTTATATATGTGGAGCTGACCCCGCGCTTCCCACCCCCACGTCGCCCTCCTTGGGCGACTCGGGGGAAACCCTAGCCGCTGCCCAGCGGCCAGCCTCCACCGCCTCTCCAGCATCGCCTCTGCTAGAGGGTTGGCCGGTGAAGCCGCGCCGGACCCCAGGATGGTAGTGACAGGGCCGACCCAAGTATAGTTATTTCCTTCAAATAGTTAAATTTCATTCCCTTGAATTTTCTTAATACAAGGACAGTTTTCGTCAGGCAAGCAAATGATTTTAAACAAGATTGATGATTTACTACACTTTTTTTGTCCTTTGGGCAGGGTGCTATAAGAGACTAATAGTACGTGATTCACGCTTCTTGGTGTCTTCTTGCACATATGCCCATGTCGTCGTGTAGTTATATGCCCATGCATGAAATATAGAACGCATGAGATAGCTTGACATGATGTGACACATAGATGGACCATGTACGAAAAGAAATATGGAAATCATATATTGGACTCCTATCCACGTATATATGCTTGCACTATTACAGACCACACTTTGCTTATCCGGAAGATGTAACAGAGAAAATCTGTCGGAAAACCTTGCAGTCCATGGTTAGCCATTTAGCCACTGACCGAGTCTGCAAGCCTTGTTTCACTACCCTGGAGACCGTGTGCGTCCTGATATTTATAGGCCTTGCACCTGAGATTTAATATCTTATTGCCTTTGAATAACTGGAGAGTCCTAGTAAATAATCAAAATGAACTTTAACAAGCTAGTGAATGATGTTTCAGCTTCACATTGCGGACACTATATTTTTCAGTTCATTCTTGCGGTTTTAGTCACTTAGTTAGTTGTTGAGTTATCATGTAATGTCAACACTGCTAGATGAGAACTTTGAGCTATGCCGAGAACTAAAACACGGGAACTCGGCAAACACGTTGTACGCCGAGAGCCAAAATCGGCACAACATGGAGCAAGGCAAAGACAGGTTGTTACCAAGAGACAAGTAAAAGGAACTCGAAAAACAAAACAAACTCGGCAACGGCCGTCATATGCCGCAAGCCAAACAGTAAGCTCACGGAAATGGGGTGCCATGTGGCACAGTAAGCTCACGACAATGGGGTGCCATGTGGCAAGTCCGTCAATTGTTCACGGCGCAGTGACGGTGGGTAAACTTTGCCAAAAGCCCGCACTTTGGTACTCGGCGAAGCATCGTTTCATTGCATAATTCAAGCATTATTAGATGAACATTACATGCTTCTTTGTTTCGCTAGCCAAAGCAGTAGATCTCAATATGACTATTCACATTCATTTAGGGTTTTCAGTCGAGTCTTGCCAATGAGGACCACTTATTCGCAACTCGCATATGGACTTTAAAACGGAGGGCTTCTCGTCCGGCTTTGGAGGTATAATTAATTTGAGGATGTGATAGGTCATTTACAGTAATATGTGCCACCGATGACCTATTGCCGAACCATGAACCTCCCGCACGACGCGAAATTGCAGTAGACTTGAGGTAGTCACTGTCGGCCTCATTCTTCCTGCAATGACGAATGGCGAACGAGTAAAAGTGGTATCTACAAAGCATGGTGCACCCGTGGTTTTTTTCGGACTGCCTGCAATATTTGAGACATTTATTGCATTCCTAGGATTTCAATGAGGGAAATTCCAGATCTGTACGACAGCCACATGAATTGATGTCTACAAGCGGTTTGGAAAATCCAATATGGGTTCTTTGCGATATGCGTAGGCCTTGTGCAGTTGAAGGAGGGGCAGGCCCCGCCACCAGGGAGGTTGAATTTAGCTCAGTGCCATGTCGGGTGCAGCCGTTTAAATCCAAGGAAGGAAACCACCAACGTAGCTAATGTGGCAGGCTGACCTCAAGGAATAGAACAAGAGCTAAAGAAGACGTGGAGGTCAACATAGCCACTGAGGATTGAAATTCTGATGCTCAGATTCATACTGTGTGTGTCTCCCATACAGTATTTCGATCAGAAAACAAGGAAGATAGCATGGCTGGATCTAGGTGGGTCTGCTGCTTGGTGGACCTGCAGGT